GGGCACAGATGAGTTCCATCCTCCACTGAAAGATCTGGCGTCGGCTGCTCCTGGAGACAGGACACCCAGCAAACAAGCGCTAATGGTCTGACTGGGGGTGGGAACTCTGTTGCCACCTGGTGAACTGTGGCGTGTCTGCCCTGCCAAAGCTTAGCGAGGTCCTGGCAAGGAGCATGCCTGAGAAGGACACCAAAAGATTAAGCAAACAGAATTACTGCCTGTACCAGAAAGCCAGTTTATTATCTATGGTCTGTTTATACAAAAAAGGATCCCAACACGTTTCAAAGCCAACTACCATCTATACGGGCAAATGAACAGCATCCCGACGGAAACTGGAGAGGAGGGAGCAGCGATAGGAAAGTCAGGGCTAATCTACACTAGAAATGCTACATCCACGCAGCTGCTGTAGCACATGTGGTGAAGACACTCTGCTGACAGGAGGGAGCTCTCCCGTTGGCATAATAAATCCACCTCCCCGAGCTATGTTAGTGGGTGAGCTCTCCCATCCAAACCGGTGCTTAGGTGGGTGTAACTTATGTCTCTCAGGGGGGGGCTTATTCACACCCCTGAGCGATGCAAGTTATACCGAAGTCAGTGGTAGACCTGGCCTCAGACATAGTGATGAATTGGATGGAACATTAGACAATCTCTGGACACTTTTTGTGAAGGGGTGAGGAATTGTCCTTGCTGTAGCCCAGCTCTGGTTATTGCACTCCGCCTCCCTAAAAATTCCCCACTTGCCATTTCAACTGGTTACAGTATTCTTCAGTTGTAGGCCTGAACCACTACCTAACCTCAGTGTGCACGCAGCTGCGTTCCAACCCAGAGCTGGCTGCATCTCCATGGTGGGTGAAGTGAAACCCTACAGATCCTGTACCCACTACGCCAGCAGGTTTGGGCAGCCTAGTTCCTGTCCATGAATCTCAATGCACTTCTCAAAATGAAAGGTTCTCTAAAAGTGCAGATCATTGTATTGGGACTAAAGAATTTCATGATGGCTTCACCGTATTTGAGGAAGCACAGAACTCAACCCCTCCTACGCTTAACATTGCGATGAAAGGGCATCTCTTTTGGGTGAGCAGTACATGGCCTAAGACAGACAGCTAAGGAGCTCTGATCCCAGCCTGCAGAGATCAGGCGTCACACGAGTTTCACTATTTAAACATTCCTATACAGCTTTTCCTATCTTGCGTCCTCACGTCTTGTGGGATTTTTTTTTGATGTAGGTTCTTCATTGCTGCCCAGTGGTTTCCAGCTGCATTCCCTTTCTAGGATCAACACTCTACTTATTACTTAAAAGCAACAGTGTATTAATTTGGGGACAAAACGCCACAGCTTCTGAGTGGGAGCCCCAATTCCTCTATGTCTGGAGTAGAGCTGATTGGGGTGGGGCGAGGGGGAGGGGGAAATGCAAAAATATTCAGAGGAAAGTGTCCCTATTTTTTATAAAATAGTATTTCCCCCCCATTTAAATTGTCAACATTCTGAAATTCAAAAGATTTCAGCCCGTCATGTATTTGGTTGAAAGACCGAGAAAACGTGGCAAGGTTTTTGCTGAAGCTTTGGAATTCCCACAGTTTTGAACGGCTCTAGTCTTGGTGCACTGGCCTTCAGGCAAGGAAGATGCTAGCCTCTAGAGTCCCATGGGTGGCCCATCACATCCCTCCTATGTGATGGGCCACCCATGGGACTGGCAGATTCAGAGTTGCATTAGTATTGTTAAGATGAAGCATCCTCTAGTAATTAAACCACATGCCTGAACATACAGACTCCTGGGTTCCATTCCTGCCTCTGTCACCAGCTTGCTCTGCAGTCTTGGGGGAAATCAGGATAGCCCCAGTTCCTCTGATTCCCCCCACCATCCTCATCCGCAGAAAAGGGTAATACCTTGCAGGGATGTCTGTGAGAAGAATCAGTGGTTCTCAAACCTCTATATTGGTGACCACTTTCACACAGCAATCCTATGAGTGCGACCCCCCCTTATAAATTAAAAAAACACATTTTTTATATTTAACACCATTATAAATGCTGGAGGTGAAGTGGGGCTTGGGGGTGGAGGCTGACAGCTCACGACTCCCCACATAATACCCTCTGTGACCCCCTGAAGGGTCATGACGTCCAGTTTGAGAACCCCTCTGTAGTGTAGTTGTAGCCTTGTGGGTTCCAAGATATTAGAGAGACCAGCTGGGTGAGAGAATCTCTTTTATAGGACCAACTTCTGTTGGTGAGAGCTTTCAAGCCATACAGCTCTTCTTCAGGTCTGGGAAAGGTATTCCAAGTGTCACAGCTAAATGCAAGATGGAACAGATTGTTTAGTGTAAGTAGTTAACACATATTCCAAGGAACCATTCACGGTAAACTCTGGATTTATGGCTTATTACAACAATCTGTAACTCACTAACCCCCCTCTTTTCTCCTATGACTGCAGAGGTGTTAATGGACCGCTCTAAATTGAACGGTCACATACAATATGTGCAAACTACTTCTGCTAAACAATCTGTTCCATCTTGCATTTAGCTGTGATACTGACCAGACCTGAAGAAGAGCTCTGTATAAGCTTGAAAGCTTGTCTCTCTCACCAACAGAAGTTGGTCCAGTAAAAGATATTATCTCACCCACCTTGTCTCTCTCATAAAGCTCATGCTACAATACGTCTGTTAGTCTATAAGGTGCCACAGGACTCTTTGCCACTTGTCTCTCTGGTGTTTCTAAAGCACTTTGCAACCCCTGACCCCACCCCCTTTTCCATTAATGTCCCCTCTCTCTTCACTTTTCTTCCCACTTAGCTCATCCCCTCTTACCTAACCTACCTTAAAAAACAAAACCCATGGAATTAACATACAATTTGCTGCCATGACATTGTTCGCTCTGCTTGTGTGTCTACCTCTTCCCCCACACTGGGTCTGTCTAGTATATTTACACTGGAAATGCTTCCGGGGAAGGACTGTCTGCGACTCTGTACAGCGCCTAGCACAATGGCTGATCCTTAGGCACTGCGCAATTAACATGATTAATAATAAAATCTTAGAAGCACCAAATACAGAGCACTTCAGGCTCTGACACGGTGATTGCTCCTCTATACTCCCACTCCCAAGTCCCAAACCCATTTGTGGACTAGCACCAAATTCCAAGCTCCTCCATAAATGAAAATCTATTTTGAATACTCCCTAGCAGAGGTCAGGGAAGAGAAAGCGTGTATTCTTGCCCACCCCCATCCAGGTCTACATGAGACACAAACGTTTTCTGCACAATGAAGTTCTGTTCACAAGAGGATTCAGTTCTGCCATCTTCAAAAACAAGCACAGTGCCTGAAAATAACCAAGGTCTCTATGTAACTACTGGACCTTACTAGTGAGACAAGAATGATAAAAGCCATGTGCCAAGAATCACTGGACTGACACTTGGGAAACTTGGATATTGTGCCATCTATTCCCTGCTCTGGCACCAACCTGCTGTGCAGCTTTGGTTAAACCTCTACCCCTTTCTATGCCTCAGTTTCCCCTCCCAGCTTCTGTCATCTTTTTAGGCTATTATTCCTGCACGCAGAGCTTGTCTCAAACTACTGAGCCCCCAAGGTGCCCAGATGGGGCCAAACAAACAGTTAAGAGTGCATGGAAACCAAGTAGAGAAACTGCACAGGGCCCATCAACCCATTCTATTCTATTTGCCCTTCTTATCTGCACCTGCCTCTTCCCCATGTAACAAAAGATTATTTTAATGTACTTCTCTCCTCAGACAACTGAGAGCTGGTCCCCCCCTTTTCATCCACCCGAAGTTTCTCAGGGCCCTCAAATCCAACCCCGCCCCCTCCTCAAGAAAGCTTTTAGTTACTGTATTGTCTTCAACACCCTGCAAGGCACAAGCCACATTTTAACTTCTTGGGAGCACTTCCAAACAGGCGGCCCCACCGCCTTAGCAAAAGGGAGCGAAGTGCATGTGGAGGGCTCTGCCTGCATGACTTGGGCCCACTGAATGTGGACACTGAAGATGGCAGCTGTGCCTTAAGATTGTAAAATTCCCTGCCCAAGAGCCAAGTGGGTAAATATTATGAAAGGGCCATTTGGAACCCAAGGAGGTTGAGAATCCGGATTTAGAATGTAGCCATTTAGAGTCAAAGGAGGTTTCTGTAACCCAGGGGAGCAGACTCATCTCCTTCACATCTCTGAAGGAGGGAAAAAGATGGGGGGGGGGGTGAGATCCTTTTCTTAAAACTGAAGTTAAGGCTGGAGGCTAAAGAAAATCTTAATGAGCCCTGCCAGGCTTTTCAAAATGACTCAGATGTATTAAAGCCAGGACATTCAAAACAATACAAATAAAATAATAAAACATAGAACTGGGGTCGGGAAAATTCCTTTGGGAAGGGAAGGTATAGGTAGTTAGTTGCTTTTTAACTCTGCTTCTACTCTCAGAAGTCAGGAAGAGTGATTCTTAAAAGTGGTCTCAATCCCCCTGATCTGTTGCCACATTGGCTAACCACCCACTCCCCGACCCTCCTACGTGAGACTTCTTGGTTAGCCCCTTTGGGGCATGTCTGTACTTGCGCCCTCTTCGCCAAACAGCAAGTCAAATGGAAACTTTGATTTGCCTCCAAAGAACGAGAGAAGTCGAGAGAGAGACACAGACCTCAGCTCGCTACACATGCGAGACACTGCAAAGCTGTTTGCTCCTCGGATCTAGGATTCATCACGGCAGGTAGCGCGCTCATATTCGTCACTGGTATGGCAACCTCACGCCCCTCTTGCAGCCCCAGTCCACTAGCTGATGCAACTGGGGTAAAACGTACTATGCCATATCAGAATTGTTACTGAATCCCTTACGCAACCAGGCGGGATCTGGAGCGCCCCCCTCCCCAAATCATGAAGACTGGAAAAGTAAACAGCTCCTAAGTTACAGCTCAGGGCAGCAGAAGAGAGAAGGACACTGGAAAATGATCGCGAAGGCCCTCCCCCGCTCCCGGGGAAAAAAAAAAAGAAAAAACGGGGTATTCCCCCTTCCATTACCTCTTTATTCCTCAAATCACCACATTGCTCGCAGGGTAAATAGCCCTTGATGCCCGTGCAGCCGCAGCAATCGGAGCCTGCAACAATCATGGTGCTGCTTGGGGTGGCGGCACTCGGCGGGGTGGGGGGAGACGTGCTGCGCTCGGGGCTCCGGTCCGCGGCTCTGGTTATCTGTCCGGAGGGTGAAGGTGCATAGCGGATCGGGCAGCCCGCGGAGGCGTCAGTTTCACGGCTGCAGCAGCAGCGGGTCGGTGTCCCGGGGTTCTATGGTCGAACGTCCGAACGCTGCAGGGTTCTGGAACGTCCGGGCGCATCCGCGTTCTAGAGCGCCCCGGGGCTCAGCAACCCGACCAGCCCAGCAGAACCCGCTGGAGCGCACGTAGTACTGACCGGCGGCTCAGGCGCGCGCCCCCAGCTGCTCTCTCATAAAGCGATAGGCGGGCGGAACGGCAGCTAGAGGCGGCCCACGGACCCAATCGCTTTACAGGAGGAGGAGCCATGACTCAGCCCCCTCAACTTCTCCTCCAATAGGAAAGGACAGAGCCGCGTGGGATTTTGGGAATGCTAGTTTCAACCGCTGTTTACTACTTTGGGGCAGAGCAGACCTCCGTGGCAGAGAAGTGGGTGCAAGTGTTGCTGTTAGTGAGGGCTGAACACTGCCATTTGAATGCAACAAAGACACGCATGGGATGGTACCGCCCTCATCACGGGATGTCTTAGTTTTCTTTGGAGGTTTCCTAGGGAGGTTGTGGAATCTCCATCTCTGGAGATATTTAAGAGTAGGTTAGATAAATGTCTATCAGGGATGGTCTAGACAGTATTTGGTCCTGCCATGCGGGCAGGGGACTGGACTCGATGACCTCTTGAGGTCCCTTCCAGTCCTAGAATCTATGAAATATACTGAGATAAATCTTGATCCTCCTGGGGGGGAGGGTTGGAGTGGATGAGAGAAGGTTAGAGAGGAACAAGGAAGGGGAAAAAGCCCTTACCACTGAAAGTATTTATAAAAGGTCCCTCTCGCAAGGTGCATCCATGTTCCGGAGATCAAAATCTAGCCACCGGCCTCTGTACAGAGCTTAAAGTGGTTTGAAAAAAAGTGTGGGTGGGAGGGGTGTCATAACCGGGGAGCAGCAGTGTTGGTAAAACTGCTTGACGTGACCTGAACTGATTTTTAAAGATATTTTTTGGCCTGATCTGTGACCCCTTGTAATCGTCCCTGCACTTTGAGCATCCACCACCCACCCCCTCTAAGATTGATGGAGCTATCTAAAGATAACACATACGAACGGCCATACTGGGTCAGACCAGAGGTCCATCTAGCCCAGTATCCTGTCTTCCAACAGGGGCCAATGCCAGGTGCCCATGGGTGGCGCATGAACTGCTGGCTGGGGGAGGCTAGCCCTCAGCCCTGCCTCTTCCACCCAAGGTCCCACCCCTTCTAAACCCCCTGGAACCCAGAGCCCCTCTACCGCAGCCACCAGCCCCTACCCCAGGTTGGCTAGTGCCTGCAGCCCCTCCCAGCCCTGGAGGGCCAGGAGGGTGAGTGCTGCAGCCCCCTAGCCTCAGGAAGGCCAGTGGCACTGATCAAGTGGCGCCCTGGGGGCGAAGTGTGGGCGGGGCCATGCCTGGCTGTTTGGGGAGGCAGTCTCCCCTACCCACTGCCCATGCAGGTGCCCCAGAGGGAATTAACAGAACAGGGAATCATCAAGTGATCCAGTCCCTGTCGCCCATTCCCAGCTTCTGGCAAAACACATTCTGAATCCACATGTTAAAGGCTAATAAACTAAATTTGAGCCTGAGCCAAATAAACCTGCCAAACACAGAGACGAAAATCAAAACAAACTCTAAATAAATAAAGGAAATAACTTTAAACAAACATTAAGGGCCCGACTCCTCTCTCCAATGCACGGGTGTAATTCAGCCACATTCAGGGTCAGCAATTTTGTGGAAGTCACAAACAAGCCAGGTTCCTAGTCTGAAGGCCTGACTGGCCTTTAGGTGGGGACAGAAAATAGCTTGATCAACAAATTTTTTTCAATGGTACATTTTTCTTGGATGGTGCAAAACCACCAATCAGGAGAAAAACAACACAGGGCTAAAGAGAGGTGATGACGGGGGTTCAAAGATTAGCTCTCTTTAAAGAACATTTGTTCCTTGCAGATTCAGAGGGCTGACCCTGGATCACAAACTCCTCCGGCCTAAGGGATTTCTGAATGTGCAGAGAAGAAATCAGCACATAGGTGTCCTGCGCCCATTCGCCGTTGCCCTTGTACTGCCATTTACACTAGTGCAAAGTGGATGTAAAATGCTACAAAATTAGAACAATTGCGTTTCCACTCACTTTTGCACGCGTGTATATGGCAACACCAGGTGTAGGACAATGGCGAATCAGGCCCATTATATATGAAAAGGAACTCAAGGCCCACAAGGAGATTAACATTCACACATACCAGGCCTGATTCTCCTCTCACATCAGTTTACACCAGCGTAGACTAAGGCCTCATCTACGCTTAACACTTCTAGGGCATAGCTTTGTCAGTCAGGGGTGTGAAAAAACCCACACCTCCTAGCGACACACTTGTGCTGACAAAATGCCCAGTGTAGGAGCAGCTACACTGACAGAATAGTGCTGCTTCGTCAGCACAATTGAGGCTGTTCACGGAGGTAATGGCACAGTGTGGAGGGGACAACAAATAAGGATTATGGGGTAGTAGCAGAGAGGAGGAAGGGAACCAGGATTGGAATAAAAAGGGGAGCTGCAAGTCAGAGTCCTGGATTCCCCTCCCCACATAGCCCTTCCCTATAGCTTCCCCTGCTATCCTACGTCCCATTCATATTGAGTTGTATGGTTTTTTGATGTATCCACTAGAGACTGGGTGGAGATCACCCCATTCCTGGTCCTTTATATCTGTCTTAGACATGGCTTATCATCCCTACATAAATTTGTTAGTCTCTAAGGTGCCACAAGTACTCCTGTTCTTTTTGCGGATACAGACTAACACGGCTGCTACTCTGAAACCATCCCTACATTAGGGCACAGATTTTGATAAGCAACACACAAGGCCAAACAACTGGCAGCGTTATTAATGGAGCTACGCCGGAGATGAACTTGGCCCATCATTTCATCGAACAATCAATCGGAAAGCGCAGTCCCAAATTCTGCTCTCAGCTACTCTGGCGCAGCCCCTATTGATTTCCACCCCCGTTGATTTGAATAACAATCACCAAATTTCTACAAAAGAAAGAGCCCCAGACAATAGTGCCGAGAACAATCTGCTTCGGCGTCAAGAGCCACACATGGGAAAGTCCAGAAAACAGAAGTAGCTGCACAAACAGGTCTGTATTTGCCTGGCAACAGCCTCCTCCTGCTCCAATCCAGAACGCCTGCCAGTTAGGTGAAAATGTCTTTGCACCTTGGCTGAGTGGTACTTCCGAGTACAGCCAATGGATAGGCAGCTCAAGAAGGGACGGCAGAGCGTGGTTGGCTGAGACTGCAGGCCGCTCAGCCAGTCCCTGCAAGGAGCACAACAAAGGGAAAAGAGGAAGCTTGCAGTTGCAGCTTATACAGTCAAACTGATTTTTTCCCTCTGGCTGATAAAGCCCCACATGCAACTAGTGTTATTTTTAGCAGCGTTTTGCAATTGCAGCTTTACTGCAGAACTCTGGCTTGACAATGTTCTGTGCCTTTTAACCACCTTTTTGTGCAAAGAGACCCCAGTTTGCCCTCCATTCCCTTCAGACCTGTGCACGCTGCAGCTGAAATCATTGTAGCAAGGTTTAGCATCCTTGACCACTTGAGTCAGGGAGGCCAGATTCTTCTCTCTCTTGTAAATCCATCCGGTCCAACTCCTCCCATGTTACTCTAGGGTTTAAAACTCTGGAGAGGCCAAACAGTGGGGCAAGAGCCTTTTTAACTTGCTTTTTTTAATTGCATGTGACTTGAGATGAAGACAAGTCCAAGACCCAGACCCAAATCCTCCTGAACTCTGGGGAAGGCTGGGCCTGTCCCTAGAATGGTTCCAAACCAGAACCAGGCCTTCAGATCTATCATCTTGGACTTATCTCTCAGTCCTTGGCAAAATTTGATTTGAGCCTGGAATTCAAAGGCAAACTCCACAGTGCAGCCCCCATTTTTCCAGGCAGCAATGCACCCAGCAGAGGCAAAGCATCGATCCGTGAGCAAATTACACATGCAGAAACTGTTTCTCCCCTGCTTCACATCCTGCCTCGTAATTTACACCTGGACAGAGAGGGTGTAAAGTTCACCACTCATTCACACCAATGGTGCTGTTGCACACTCACTTTTCACAGGTTGAATGGCACTATGAGGTGGCAAGGCAGGAAATCAGCTTCCCTCATACCAGGGTAGGTCAGGAGTCAGCAGGGTGATGTTGGCGCAAGGGAGATCAGAACCATCTCAACACACTATGCTCTACAGATCCTGTACCCTGGCAACTCTCCTGGACTGTTTCCTAGCCAGCCCCTGCTAAGCCTGGACAGCATCGGTGGGTGAGAGGAGAGTGCACCACCGGCTCTAAAACAGTTCTTTCCCCTTGGAGCCTGTGGCTCACAGCGATTCACCCCCTCCACCACGCTACAAGGCTGTATGTATGTGCAGCAAACGCAAAGGGATGGAGCAGCTTCTCCCAGGTTCATTAACCCCAGCGCGGGGTCAGAGAGGAGGAGCCTTGCATGGCTTGTGTGACCAGCTCGGCTGTTTGTCAGGAGCCCAGGAGTGACAGATGCCTTGAGCAGCAGCTGGGCTTTGGGGGACGCTGAGGCAATTAGCACTGGGACTGAGCGCTAGGGACTCTTGTATACCCGGTGACTTGGACAAAGCCCCGAGCAGCAGCAGGTCGGGATGCAGCCTGCTCCCTGAGCTGCTTCTCCTTTTAGCCTGGTTAATGAGCATGCATCTCCATTATTATCCCAGCACAGCCTCCTGGGCCCCAGAAGCTGTTACCAAGGGGGGGAAAGGGCTGGTCTCCCCTTTGATTGGCTGGCTCCCAAAGCCCTCTCTCTCCCCCAAGCAGCCCACGAACACGCTTGTCTGCGACCGTGTCCCTGTGTCACGTCATCTCCCCTAGCAAACAGAGCACACCCCCTAACCCTCTCCTCCCAATACACCCACCCTCAGTAACTTCCCAGCCCAGCTACCAACAAGCCCAAGAGAGAGGATGTTGGAAAAAGGCAAATATAGTGCCCATATTTTAAAAAGGGAAGAAAGAGAACCCGGGGATCTACAGGACCGGTCAGCCTCACTTCAGTCCCCGGCAAAATCATGGAGCAGGTCCTCAAGGAATCCATTTTGAAGCACTTGGAGGAGAGGAAGGTGATCAGGAACAGTCAACATGGATTCACCAAGGGCAAGTCATGCCTGACCAACCTGATTGCCTTC